TGAACTGGAAAGTGACCTGAGATGACATGAGTTTGAATTAGCGCTATAGAAATAAACTGAATAGAATTGAATTAGGCTTTAATCGCTGCTGCAGAGATTTGGGATCATTTGCTGAGGCGCTCCTGTTCTGGTGAACTGCAGCTGCATCATGAACCCAGCAGCCGTCTTCTTCTGCTCCCTCTGGAGAGACAAACTCAGCCCGAACAGAAGAGCTGAGGACTTTATGCACAGCAGAGAGAGCTGGATCTGTTCATGGTGTAAATGTCAGCTGTTCCCCACGGAAACAGGAAGTGAGGTGGCTGAGGTCGGGAGGACGCTCCAAATTTAGATCCAGTAGGAGACAGAGGAGACAAAACAGGAAGTTGGTGATTTTTGGTGCGTAGGAATCAGAGGAGAACGAGCAGGAAGGAGGAGCATCAGGTCGTTGCTCAGTCCGCTCACAACATCCCAAAATAAAAAAAAGTCCAATTATAACTCAGTATTTGAGTTGTAAACATGTGAGAGAATTGAAACCTTTCTCTGATTGTTGCATTGGATAAATGGTCGGCTGATTTCCTGACAGGCAGCAGCAGGGACGCCTCTCTGCCTGGAAAGAACACATGTTAGCGTTTAACCTATTTCTAATAACTGGGTCGTTTTTATGAGGGACGCTCATTTCAGCTGCATAAAGTCTTGGTGTGTAATGCAGTTTTGGCGCCACCTGGTGGTGAGTCAGTGTAACTGATCACTAAAAAGCCCAAAGTGAAGATGAGTTTGTGTTGCAGGTGAGCCGGTTCCTCGATCCCTGGAGGGGCTGTTTGTGTACGAGGAGAGGAGCACGTCGCCTCCTCCCAACGACACCATCGTGGTGGAGCAGTGGACGGTCATCGAGGTGGGGGGGCATGCATGGACCTTTTTAGCCTATTTTTTTTACATTCTGAAGCCACCCTAATATGAATGAAAGCACCCCTAAAATATCCTGTTTTTTTTATACTGTATGCGCTTTTTACAATAAAAAACTAAAAAATGTGACGTTGTAGAAACTATAAAGTATTTAGTTATTTAACCCCTTCAGTTCTGCTCTGGTTCATCAGAAATTATAATAAACAAACAAAAAAACAAGTAAAGCAGCCGGATGGAGATCCTTGACTAAAACGCTTTGAGGAAAATGCTGCATTCAGGTGTTTCTGAAAGATTTCTGCACCTATTGATGGTGTGTTGGTGAAATGTTCACCAGCGAGGTGCTCTAATGTGTCTGAGAATGGTTTGTTTTATTGTCATTAAAACCAAAACTCAATATCAGTATTTCAATTTACTAAATTATTAGTAAATCATATCATTTTTTTTAGTTTCTGGTTAATTAAATTTATAATCCATTTTATAATTGCCAGTCTAAAGAGGGAGAGGTGTAAATAGGAGCAGAGGAGTGATGGTGTGAGCAAAGTGAAAAACCAGACAGAATAGCAGCGAGGCTCAGACTGGTAATCTGATATTTGCCCGGTTCTAATGTCAGCATGTGAGGACCGGCCCTCCTTAAATCATACCGGCCCCAACACTTACTCTCCCGCTGGCGTAGATGGAAAAATGCCAGGGCCGAAAACCGTTCCCAGTCTGAGTCTGAAAGCAGCAGTTTTTAAACTGGGAAAGAAAAACATTTCATTCCGTAGATTATTTTATAGATATCATGGAAGTACACTACTGTTCAAAAGTTTGGGGTCACATTGAAATGTCCTTATTTTTGAAGGAAAAGCTCTGTACTTTTCAATGAAGATAACTTTAAACTGGTCTTAAAGGAATAGTACACCCAAAACATGATTAGCCTTCATTTTCTACTC